AGACTTAAGACCAAGGTAGCCGAGTAGTGCGGGTCACATCCATAGGGTGTATCATCTCTGTCTTCTTTTAATGCATTTGTAGAAATTTACATGATCTCTACTTTTTATACGTTTTTTGTCATTGGAATTTATGAAGGCTTATAACTAGGGTAGCGGAGTAGTGTTGCCTTAATTTAGGTTTTAACTAGGGATGGCAAACGGGCGGGTCGGGTGCGGATACCCCCTCCCCATCCCCATACCCACCTAATATTTTTCAATCCACCACCCGCCCACCACCTATGATGGGTACAAATTTTCAAATCCACACCCGCCTACGCGGGTACATTTTCAAATCCATCCCCACACCCACTACCCATTAGCGACATACTCATCTAGACCCGCCTGACAGCAAACTAATGGGATGTTGGAGTTGGTTCCCAGATAGTTCGTGATGGGGTAGCAACGCATGCTTCAATTTGTCAGAGGAGTGGCTCTACGAATGTTATAGAGACAGATTGTAGGGAGCATGTAGTTACAGATCTGGATTGTTGAGTTGCTTTCGATGTTAATGCTCATAGAGCACCTAATATGGGTTTTTGAGGGGCTAAAGAACATGGAAACTGCTGCTTTTGATGTTAATGCATATAGTACGGCTAATTTGTGTTTGGATGAGCAGTATGGGCTAAAGAACATGGAAAGTGACGTGGTTAGTGGGATTATGGGTTTAATCAAAGAGCCGAATATTTCCCTAATTAAATATCAGATTAAAGACTAAATATCCTTAATATTTGGTTAAATTATATGTTATATATTATACAATATTAAAATTTATAAATTAGTCTCTAAAATTACACCTAAATTCATAATGGTCCAAAATTTAATAGATATTTAGCTGGGCGGGGCGGATGTGGGGCAGACGGATGCGGGACAGGTAATGTCTCAAACCCATTACCCGCCCACCACCCACGACGGGTACCACTTTATAAATCCACACCCGCCTACTACCCGCTAAAATTATACCCATCCCCGCTCCAATTGGAGCGGATGCGGTGCGGAATCCACGAAATTGTACCCGTTTGTCATCCCTAGTTTAACCCTTTTGACTTCATTCATTTCAAGTAGCTTGCTATCGTTGACTTCTGTGTATCCTTCTCTTCATGTTTCCTCTTTTTAAATTTAGTCGGGTCTTACGCTTCTGTCTGTATGCAGATATTTTTACGCAGAGATTTATTTGCAGGGATTACTTCTCATTACAGACACGCATACGAAGACTGCATATGAAGAGTGGTCAACTATGTATTTATTTATTTATTTATACATGCATTGCATTTTATCTTTATTTTTAATTTTCTGACTGCCGGAGGTCTTCCACGGAAGCTGCTCTCAACCTGACGTTGGGGGCAGCCTACTACCCTACCTCCCTCTTACCCCATTGCATATGGGAATAGGGTTATGTTGTTGTTGTTGTTGTTACTTTCTCCATAACATTTCCGGTTGCAACCAGAAATGTTAAAAAAATTAATATTTTAGGTAGTGAAATTAACATTTTAAGTAGCGCTCCACCGGAAAATGTTAAAATAAAATTAACATATCTGGTTGCTCCTTTCTTTATCCTTATATTAGGTTATTTTTCCTTAGACATCACGTAATCCCTAATTGTTCCCATTTTTCAATTTTTTTTGGCCAACCATTCCTTTCCCTTGTTGTGGAACAACTTATTTCTACTAATTTACATTCAACATACCAATTGTAAGGCCGTGGTAAAAGAAACAAGTATGATGTACCATTCTTTAAAATCCTACCCCCCCCCCCCAACTCCATTCCCAATGGTTCTGGCAAGCTTTAAACACACACTTAAAATTTAAAGTATGTGCGCCTTTCTATCACGCACAAATAATGTGATATCGGTGGTTAATAGATTCGTTGTTACACTTTGAGATCTAAGGTTCAGACACATCAAATGTTAGGGTTATATATGAACGTTTATAATTAAATAATTAAGAGTATTTGAATATATATTATATATCTTGTATTCACCTAGATGTATAAAAAATATATTTTATTATTTTTATTCAAAAGTTTCAATTTCTTTTTTTGTTTTAATTTAAGTTTACTGTTAATTCATGTATATAAAGTTTAGTCAATTTCAGTATTGATCATTAAAACAAAAAAGACATATCATTATTCAAACACCATAAATTTCTATCAACGATTTATTATAATTTTTATAAATAAAATGGGTAAAGAGAGGTTGATATCGACTGTAATTCTCTAAAAAAATTGAAAATTTATATAATTTATATATTTTTCCATAAAACTTTTATAAATTCATTCCGATATAAAAGTTTACATTCATCCCTATTTGTATACGTAATATGGAATACAAATCTTATCTATCAAATTAATTCATGTGCCCGGCTAGGATATTAAAGATAAAAGACGGAAACTAAAATGAAAAAATCATTTTAATACATCACGCACCCTAAATTTATTTTTTAGAAAATATTTATTTAAATTCAACTACTTGCTAGTGGCATATCTATAATTAATTAAATTTGGTACGAAATTGAAATCATTAAAGCTATTCAACTAAGCTGAGTGATTAATTCGTTTCCCAAGGTTGCTGCCACATGGCGCCGAACAAGTGTTATGAAACTTTATCCCGGTGGAACTTGTCGCCATGCTTTTTCATGCCTTTACTTTGATTTCTTACAAGCTTTGGCTTCAAAGCATGTCAATGGCACAATATTTGGAACTCGACAAAGTTGTTTAACTGTAAGACAAAGATCATCGCTGTCCCAAAACACGACCCTGTAACTTGTGTACAAAAAGCAGCGCAATCCTCAGGCTCTTTACTGCATCCCAATGCTACACAGATGGTACGAGGAAGAAACTCACCCGAGTTTGGTAAGCAGATAGATGAAGTGAATAGCATATCACTGCAAAACAGCAAAGCGCAGTAAAGGGTTCGTAGGGCCCTTTAAAGTTTGGGCTATCGACAAAATCCCGATGATTACACTGGCCAGTTTCACGTAAAGGATTATGGTTTAAAAAACGATGAAGGTTAGGGCATTACCCCACGTGTTGAGGCGTTGTTCGTTCAATTTTGTGGGTATAAAACAGGGGCATGGTTCCCTTTTTTGTTTTGGATGCAAATTGTGAGCTTTAAAATAAATTAACTATATATTCCTTTCAATCCATACCTCAATATTAACACTTGCCGGTGGAGTTAGACAAGAGTAGCCGAGGCAGGTGGCTCTAGAGAACCCCACGGCCCCACCCACTTTCTCTCTCCAATCCATCTCTTAAAATTAAATGAAGTACCGTCGGCCATTGGCCTCGAAAACTATGAAAATCCCCAAGTAGAGACGAGTAAATGAGCAAAGCTTTCACTCCCTAATTTACTAGTTTGAGAACTACTGAAAACCAAAGTGGATGCGCTGAGTTCAAAACCTAAAAGCTTGCGGTTCGAACTACGTTACAAAGCTTTGAAGATGCTAAATATCTAAAGAGTACGTGGACATATTTAGACGATAAGATTTAGAGACAAAAGGGATCTACTAATAGCATCCTTTTTTTACTTTACATTTGGAATCGATAACTCAAATTAAGCTCAACTTTATTATACAAAATGATATTAGAAATAAAAGTTCAAAGGCGTCAAGCGACGTAAAGAGCAGAAAGTTTCCCCAACTATTTGCAGAGCGGATCAAAATGGTTGAAAAGAAGCAATGACCAAAATGGATTGGATGGGGTCTAGAAACGAATAGAAAACTGGGGGCCGTTGGAAAGTGATTGGTGGGTGTATCTAGGTTATCATAGCTAAACGGAATATTATACAAATTGGGTGTGATATCAGATATAATTAATAATAAGATAATATTCCTATATAATTATGCAATGACATATAATGGAAGGAAGAAATAAAGGAGGGTTGGCTACGGGTCCCTTTCACACTGGGCCTGAGTGGTGGTTACCCAAATAAAAAAATATTAATGGCAGCAATCACTAGGGTTATTTTAAATATTCATTGATGCTTTCAGCCAATATATGCTTTTGTTGTGCGCGGTCGAGCTTGAGAGGATCGGAGAAAAAACAGATAAATAAAAGAGAGGGTGAGATCCGAAAAGAAAAAACAACTCAGGGCCCAAAATCTTTGATCAAAGATATAATAAAGGACAACACCTGACACTGAAACTCAGAAGCGTAAACCACTGCAAATATGTCAAATTTCAGTGAGGGGCACGTCACGTGTGCTTATATATCACATTTACTATAGACTTCGAATTTGACCTTTGAGCCGGGAGGCCCAGCTGAACCCGAAATCTTGTTGTAGCAAAAGATTTGGCCAATTACTGCGCGCGCGTGCGTGTTTCATTCTTCTTCATGTCTCCGCACTTTGAGGTTTCTTAGCTACATACAAATCTTAACCCTACACTTGGAAGCAAACAAGATAAAAGATGTTGAGAGGCTTTCTTTTTCTTTATGATAAGGCATGCAACTGTTGAAGATTTAATGGTCGATTCCTTCTACATTGTGTAATGTATGGCCGTAATGACAACGAAAGAAGAATAACCCAAAGGAAATCCCTGGAATTTTCTACTTTTTTTTTCCTTTTAAAAATATGGGTTTTCATCTTTGTAATGAATTTCATACAAATGCATGCATGTAATTGGGGCTTATCAGGTCAAAAGGAGAATAGAAAACCAATATCAATGATGATAGGTAGCCAAGTTCCCATGGTGACATGATGGGATGTAAACTTACCCATTTGCTTCTTGTTGAGGAAGAAGCAAACAAGACAGATATGGATTTTTTCTCCTTCCTAAACTCTGTCTATCAAAACAGCTCGGACAAAATGGAAAAAGCAATCGATTAAAACTTGTTATCGATACTGCTTGTGTTTCACTTCACTTTCACATATACGCCTTCAGAACTAGTTTGAAGTAGTAGTAATGTTCATGCATAACAAGAGACGATAAAAAAAAGTATCAAACAGGGAAAAAAAATTGGGAGATCAGTTGAAAAAGATAAAAACTAGATTTTTAACTAAATTTGGTTCATGGGACATCAATCCAATATTGAGAGAGAATTCCCAAGATATATACCTCATAATCATATAAAACGGCTATTAGGAGGAGGAGAAAAGAATTCAGTAAAAGAAAAATCTATACGTCAGTAGTTGGAGCAGCAGAAGCGGAGGTGGCAGTACCAACATTAGCCGCAGTTCCACCAGCACTATCAACTCCGCCACCGCCGCTACCCACACCACCATCAGCAGTTTGAGCGGCAGCCACAGACAGATTGACACCTACAGCAGTAGTTGTGACAGTAGACCTTTTTCGTTTCTTCTTCTCGTAAGGAATCCCTCTAGCTTTAGCCTGTCCTTCTCTCACTTCCCTCAAATAAATCCTCACAGCTCTTGCTGCAAAAGAGTTTGATTCTGGGTGTCCACCGTTTTCTTCATAAGCAGCTCTAAGGCGTCCGATCAGCGCGTCGAGGCTACCCCAGGCCTGCTTGAGTGGGCAAGAACATGGCGCGGGTGGGTTTGGATGTCCGAAATAAGGACAACCCGTCATGTGAACCTTAGTTTTGCCAAACTGGTCAAGGTATTTCAAGAACTCGATGACGTGGGCACCACTGCAACGAGCTAGTGTTAACGGAGGCTTATGGTTCTTCAAGTACTGCAAGAAAGTATTCCAATCTCGACGCTTTTGTGACTCGTAGCGACTCGGTGGAGCTGGGGAAGAAGACGACTCACCAGCTCCACCTTGCTGTGAAACCATGGGCGGCGTTTCTGTAGCTATAACTACACCAGGTGTTGAACTCTCGTTTATGCTATTCGAGTTGGTTGAAGCACCCCCTACTGAAGCAGGATCCATTAACGAAAACAAAAGGGTTGGTGTTTTTTCCGATTATCAGCTTCCCACCTTGGACTTTATTTGTCTAGATTTCAGGTGCCGGAGAATGAAGAGGGGCCGAGGGAGGGCTCTGCCTAATCTATCTAAATTCTAAGCTCTCAACCGATCGATCACTTACAGATTGCAATCTCTTTATAGCTAAGGCTTGTATTTGATCAGGCAAGGAGTAATAGTGTATAGGGTTCATGGAAAGAACTACTGGCTCACCACCCCGTCCCCGGCCCTTTGGGATCTTCACGGGAAAGATTTGCCTGTTTGTTTTCCCTCTATTCGTGTTTAGGAGAGTCAGGATAAATGATTTTGAATGAAGAAAGGAAATCAAGACAGACGAAGAAAACCAAAAACAAACGGATGATGGGACGGGCGAATACAACTCGTTACAATTACTCTCTTTTCTTTTTAGAAATTAGCCTGGAAAAAGGGTGAAATGAGATTTAACCTGTTGTCCTGTGGACTAAGAATTGAACTGGGATATGTAAATGTATAGATAGAGTAGAGGGTTGATTCACGCAGAAATGGAATATATGATAAATATCGAACATGGTGGCCCGGCCCTCAATATAATCACTGTTGACCTGGGCGGCCCCGCCATTCCTTTTTACTCCTCATCATTCATTCATCCTTGTATTGGAATGAGATCTATTTTAGATTACATTCATCATTTATACCGTAAAGTTTAGAGCATATGACGTAATTTTTTTTCAAGTTCCATTAAAAATTTATGATATAATTTATTTGATGAAAAAATAAATTTTAAAAAAATATAATGACAGTATTGAGTTTTATCTTGGACTTCGTTGAGATAGCTTAACGATACCCCAAATATCCCTTGAATGGTTATCGGTGACTTCAATGAAATTCTTCTCTGTTGAGAAGTCTGGTGGCCGTATTCGCAATCAAAGACAAATGAATAATTTTCGGCAGGCCCTTAGATGGTTGTAATCTCACTGATATTGGATATACAGGAAGATGGTACACTTGGGAGAAGGGTAACTTTGAAAGAACTAATATCCGGGAGAGACTCAATAGCGGGATTGCTAACGAAAATTGGTAGGATACCTTTCCCCATTTCTCCTTAACCCATTAACTTCACTTCATGTCCGATCACTGTCCTCTTTTTCTTAATACAAGAATTCTTAATGAGGAAAGGCGAAAATGGCATTTCAAGTTTGAAGCGGCGTGGCTGGTTGAAGACTCGTGTGAGCTTGAAGTCCGACGACTCTGGAATAACGCGACTGGTTTAATTCCAGAACTTTTGAGAACAGCTAGTATAGGCCTGGATTCATGGTTTCGGAAATTGCGGGCTGCTAGGAAAATTACAACTACTGAGCTGCGCAAAAGATTAGAAACTCTAATGGAAATGGCCCCTACGGATGAAACTTTGGCTGAAATAGTAGACATAAAGTTGGCTCTAAATTTAGAGAATGGCAAGACTGAATTATACTGGGAGCAAAGGGCTAGGGTGAATTGGCTTAAACATGGAGACAAAAATTCAGCCTTTTTCCACAGTTAATTTGTGAATAAATTGGAATCTGAATCTGAAATCTGTTTGGTTGGCAGGAAATTGAATTGAAATCCAATTTCATGTTCTGTTTGGTTCGCAGACATGTCAGATGAATTTGATTTCAGTAATGTAAAATGACAGAATTGTCGTTTTTGTTTTTTTGCTTAATTTTAGTTTGTTTTATAATTTACACGTAGCAATATATTATAAAAATATTAAAAATATTAAAATTTCATTTTATTGATTGATTTTTCATTTCAATAAATTATAAAAATCAAACTAATAAACATCATAAGTTAAAATCATCCCAATTACGGATGATCATGGGCTTGGTTGGGTAGAGTTTTTGGTCCATCCGACCCGACCCAAGAACAAGGGAACCTCCACCCGAGACCCGAACCGACCAAAATAAAGTTTCACCCGACTTAACCCGACCCGAATATATGAATTAGAAACCCGACTCGACCTGACCCGAAATAATAAAAAAATTATTTTAATTCAATAAAAACAGTGACTTAATTGAAAAAATATATATAGAGGGGTATTACTGTAATTATTCCTAAATATATAAGGTAAAATTATATTTTTTTTCTAGTCGGGTCGGGTATTTTTTACCCTAAACCCGAACCCGACCTGAATAGCACACTTAAAAAACCCGACCCGACTCGAATATCACACTTAAAAAAACCCAATCCGACCCAAATATCAAGCTTAAAAAACCCCGACCCGACCTGAACCCAAAATTTTTAAAAAAATCCGACCCGATCTCAAAATTTTAAAAAAAAAATCCGACCCGAATACCAAAAGATTGATGATGGTAGTATGAACAAATTTCACATTTCATCCTCCAAAGGATTTCAATTCTATCATGTTATGGATGAAATTTATTTTCCCTCGCTTGATGGAATTGGATTCCAATTCCCCTTTGAAAACTTGAATCAAACATGAGAAAATGATGAAATTGGATTCTAATTCCCTAAATTCCAAGGAATTCCAGCGAACCAAATACCACAGAGAAAACGGAGAAATAAAGTCACTTTCTTAGAGGTGTTGGGGAAAACGAGTTATTTCCCACACGAACGTAGTTTTAAAATTGACCTAAAATGTCAAGATTAAAATCACCAAAGGTTGCACAGCGGATAAACCTGTCAAACTATTAAATATTAAAACACAATGGAAAAGAACCGAATAACAAACAATAAAGGAGAGAACACACCAAATTTACGAGGTTCGACGAGAATATCGTCTACTCCTCGGGCACCACACCGGATGATAACTTCACTATATCGCCAATATTACAACAAATGGAATTATTTGGAATTCCCAAAGTGGGAGAATGAAGAATACAAGAGGAAGAGAGAACTTGTTTTTGGGATGATTTCTAATGGAAATACTTAGGCCTATTTATAGTTGAGTTTCAAGAACAATATGTTCAAAGTTTGGCCACCTACCAAAGAATTTTCCAATGTGTACAAGTTAGCCACCAAATATGAAATTCACATGTTCAAAGTTTGGCCACCAACCAATATGAAATTTCCAATAAGTTGGCCACCAACCAAGATGAAAGTTCCAACTTGTCAACTTAATTTCTAGACAAATCTAACAAATCTCCACCTTGGCTTAAAATTACCAAACCTACTCAACTTCTTCAAATCCCCAAATTTGTAGTGCCTCTAATTGCGCTCACAAGCGCTACACACCAGAAGGTGTTCATACTTTCAGGATGTTAATCAAGTTCAAACAATGATTGAACTTGATTACTGTTACCACCTTGGTCATCATATCTGCAGGATTTTTTGATGTCGCAATTTTCTGAAGTAGAATCTTTCATTCTTCAAAGATCTCCCGCACAAAGTGATACCTCACGTCGATATGCTTAGTCCTTGAATGGTAGACTTGATTTTTCGCTAAGTGAATAGCACTCTGACTATCACAATAGAGACTAATGTGACTTTGAACAACTCCCAAGTCTTCCATCAACCTTTTAAGCCAAATTGCTTCCTTTACAGCCTCTGAAACTGCCATGTATTCTGCCTCTGTAGTAGACAAGGCCACCGTAGATTGCAATGTAGACTTACAACTTACTGGGGCTTTAGCAAGAGTAAACAAATACCCAGTAGTTGATCGACGCTTATCTAAATCACCAGCATAATCGGAATCAACATATCCAACCATACACTGACCAAGTGCTTCATCCTGTTCAAAAACTAAACCAACATCCACGGTTTGTTGGAGATACCGTAGAATCCATTTCACAGCTTGCCAATGTCCTTCTCCAGGATCATGCATGTACCTGCTCACAACTCCAACTGCTTGTGAAATGTCAGGACGCGTACACACCATTGCATACATCAAGCTCCCAACTGCATTAACATATGGAACTTTTGCCATATACACTCGTTCTTCGTTAGTTTTAGGAGATAATTGAGAACTAAGTTTCAAATGAGAAGCCAATGGGATACTTACATGTTTGGTATTTTCATTCATGCCAAAACATTATAATACCTTTCTCAGATACTGCTTATGTGTTAAACAAAGCTTCCCTCTCTGTCTATCTCTGTTTATCTCCATACCAAGAATCTTCTTGGCCTCACCTAGATCTTTCATCTCAAACTCTTGATTCAACTGAGCCTTTAATTTGTCTATCTCCTTTTGACTCTTCGAAGCGATCAACATATCGTCAATGTACAAGAGAAGATAAATGAAAGATCCATCTTTGAGCTTTTGCAAATACACACAATGATCATATTTGCTTCTAGTATACTTTTGCCTCCTCATAAAGCTATCAAATCGCTTGTACCACTGCCTCGGAGATTGCTTCAATCCATATAGCGATTTGTTCAGCTTACAAACACATTTCTCACAACCACCATCTTTGTATCATTCTGGCTGCGTCATATAGATCTCCTCTTCTAAATCACCGTGCAAGAAAGCCGTCTTTACATCAAGTTGATCTAGCTCCAAATTCAACTGTGCTACCAAGGCCAATAATATTCTAATGGAGGAATGATTCACAACAGGGGAAAATACTTCATTGTAGTCGATTCCCTCCTTTTGAGCGTAGCCTTTAGCTACCAACCGTGCCTTGTAGCGAACATTTTTCTTGTTATGAGATCCATCTTTCTTTACAAATACCCACTTGCATCCAATGGCTCTTTTACCTTTCGGTAATTGTGCCAGTTTCCAAGTGTCGTTCTTTTAGAGAGATTGCATTTCTTCATCCATGGCACTTTTCCACTTATCACTTTCCAAGCTTTGTATTGATTCTTTGTAAGTGATAGGGATATCATCATCAACAACTGGAAGAGCATAGGCCACCATATCAACAAATCGAGCAGGTCTACGAATTTCTCTCCTTGGCCTTGTAACTGCAAGTGTTTCTGCTGTCTCCAATGATTCTTGGGTTTGAATCTCTTCATCTTCTGATTATTCTATTAGAGTTGAAGAATCAGCTGCATCAACTTCTGGGATCATCGTCTGCTAAAACTCCACCTGTTTTGGAGTATGCTCCACCTGCTGCGGAGTACTACTTGTCTGGACAGCTTCACTTATTACCTTCTTTACTAGGGCAGATTCATCAAAGGTAACATCTCTGCTACAAATTATCTTCTTGGTGTCTAAACACCAAAGGCGGAATCCCTTCACTCCATGGGTGATTCCCATAAAGAGAGCCTTCTTTGCTATCGGATCAAGCTTGGATTCCTTCACATGATAATAAGCAGTGGATCCAAATACATGTAAGTAATCATAATCAGTAGCAGGTTTTCCAGACCATACCTCCAATGGTGTTTTTCCTCCTATCGCTGATGACGGCAGACGATTGATGAGATGGCCATCATATGTCACAGCCTCAACCCAAAATGCCTTGCCTAACCCAGCATTAGACAACATACATCGAACTTTCTCCAATAGTGTTCGATTCATACGCTCTGCCACCCCATTCTGTTGTGGTGTATGTC